TCACTAAGGTTTTCTCAGAAGCCCGTCTCACTACCTGCCCCCTGGATCCTGTCCCCTCACAACTACTACAGTCATGTTCTTCTTCTATCCTTTGCTCCCTCGTTCACATCTTCAATCTCTCCCTCTCTAACAGTGCCTTCCCCACCCCTCTAAAGCATGCACACATCACTCCCATACTTAAAAAGCCCTCCCTGGAACCCAGCAACCTGAACAACTTAAGACTTCCTGCTCCCGTTTACCTCTAAACTCTTAGAACACTTAATCTACAAATCGCCTGAGCTCCTACCTCACTGACAACAACCTTCTTGACCCATTACAGTCTGGCTTTCACTCACTCCACTCCACTCCACTCCACTGAAACTGCCCTACTAAAACACACTAATGATTTATTAACTGCTAAAACCAATGGCCCTACTCCGTACTCTTACTATTTGACCTCTCTGCGGATACTGTTAATCATCCCCTCCTCCTCAAAAAAACTCCACTCTCTTGGCCTCTAAGACTCTGCTCTCTCCTGGTTCTCCTCCTACCCATCGCAGCGCTCCTTCAGCGTTACTTATAACTCTGTGTCCTCCACTCCCTCTTTCTGTAGGGGCCCCTCAAGGTTCTGTCCTTGGACCCCTTCTCTTCTCCATCTTCACCCTCCTCCCTTGGTCACTTGATAAACTCCCATGGCTTTAAGTACCATCTCTATGCTGATGACACACAAAATCTATCTTTTTACTCCTCACCTCACCCCTTCAGTCTCCTCTCGCATTACTAACCTACTAAGTGACATATCAGCATGGATGTCACTCCACTTCCTTACTGTCCGTGATACTTTTTTTATTTTTGACTGAATTGTTTCTGTCAAAAGTGCACTAATACGGCTACAATCACCTCACACTCCACTTCCTCAAACTCAATCTTTCCAAAACTGAGCTCATACTATTCCCTCCAGCCCGTGCCCCCCCTCCCTGACTTCTCCATCAAGATCAATAATACAACCATCAGTCCCTCCCCTCATGCCAGGGTACTAGGTGTAATCCTAGACTCCCATCTGTTTTTTAAGCCCCAAATCCAATCGCTGTCCAAATATTGTAGACTTCACCTCCGCAACATCTCCCAGATACTCCCGTTCTTAACCTCTGAAACTACTAAACAACTTATTCACTCCCTTGTTATCTCTCGCCTTGACTATTGCAACTCCCCCTCCTCATTGGCCTACCTCATTGCAGGCTATCCCCTCTTCAGTCTATCATGATTTCTGCTGCCAGACTCATCCACCTTACTAACCGTTCCATATCTGCCAATCCCTCCACTGGTTTCCCATTGTCCAACGGATAAAATTCAAAACATTAACAATAACATATAAAGCCATTTATAAGTCTGCCCCAAATTACATCACCAATCTAGTCTCCAAATATTACCCAAACCTTACTCTCCGCTCCTCGCATGACCTCCTGCTCTCTAGCTCCCTTGTCTCCTCCTCCTATGCTCGTCTCCAGGACTTCTCCAGAGCTTCCCCCATCCTCTGGAACTCCCTACCCCAATTTATCAGACTATCGACTACTCTGCTCACTTTTAGGCAATCTCTGAAATCCTAACTCTTCAGGGTAGCCTATCCTGCCCTCAGCTAATAATGGAATATTCCTCCTACCAGTCCATCCCCCACAGTTATTACCTTTTGTACCACTAGCCCCCCCTCTTAGATTGTAAGCTCCAAGGAGCAGGGCCCTTCTAACCCTCTTGTATTGAACTGTATTGTTACTGTATTGTCTCCTGTTATATTGTAAAGCACTGAGCAAACTGTTGGCAATGCAAATGCAACCCTATGGGACCCAGGGAAAACTAAGGAGTGGTAGGACCTAAGGAGAATGGAGGGGGAAAAGCAAGGAAAAGGTGGGGAAAGGAGAAAAAACAAGACTAGAAAATGAGAGACTAGGATGTATAAGCTGTGTGTTACATAACACACATTTAGGCTGGTTAGTAGTGTATGCAAAATACATAAACAGTCATCAACATATAGCTGCAAATTAAAAACTGTATATCCAAACTTTGAGATGGAAGGTGGGAGCGGGGGCTAAGGGAAGAAGGGGTGGGGTGCAGAAAAAAAACAGTAAAGTAGATGCTCTGGAAGGGGGAAAGGGTGAGTTGTTGACAGACAAAGACTGAAAGCTGACTTCATAGCTTTGTGCAATGCACGGTACCATAGCATGCTTTGTGGGGTCAAGCATTATGAATAGCAACCCAATGACTAAGGTTAATGACCTGTGTTGCAGCACAACTCATGGTCAAGCATTTCTGTGCATTGTGGTGTGCTTTATTTTTTAAAAAATGTTAGGCCAGCTTTTGGTATGCTAGGGTGCTTTGGTAGCACATTCAAAAAGAATCAGTTGCCTTAAAGTGGTTGTAAAAATACAAAAAATAACAAACAGGTTCATACTTACCTGCATATGGCCCCGAACCTCCTTTTCTTGGGTACCTCGCTGGTGATCCAGGCTCCTCCTCACTGTCCAGTGGCCCCATAGAAAGCCGTTTCCTTTGGGGGCACTTGTGCAGGCTCACTGCCAAGCCCTGCTGTCGGTGTCCATTGATACAGACAGGGGAAATTGGCCCTGCCCCCCCCCGCTCCTTTGTCACTGGCTTTGATTGTCAGCAGGGGGAGCCAATGGCTCCCGATGCCCCAGCTAAGCCTGCGAGACCCAGAACTGAGGGAGAGAAGAGCTATAGACGTGCACAATGCTGGATTAAATTTGGGCTCAGGTAATTAAAAGAGGGGATGAGGAGGAAAAATTATTCCTAAACATTGTTTGCCTTTATGCAAAGAATGCATTAACGTAAAAAATGATTAGGCTTTAAAACCACTTTAATGTAATTCACATTAATGTGTAAGGGGGCCATCAGTGGGAACTTCTACAATGAATGAATTAGTCCACAGTGCCTGCAACTACAATGTCAGCAGGTGGGCTTGTTTTAAAGTTTAGTTATCATTTACTAAGAATATGTAAAAACTTGATTGTCCACAGTCTGGCCACAGTTTCACTTCAAGCTACGTGAATGTTAATGTTTAACTAAATAATGTACACTTGTTAAGAGCACATATTTCATGTACAAGTCCTTAGAATTCAGCATTGCATATCTCATTGGATGCCTCCTGAGGCAGCTTTTTACAGATGTGCTCATATAATAAAGATAGTCTGTAGTGGCTTATGGTTAATTTTCTATTGTTGAAAGCTTTTATAAATTTGTCTTTTACAACTTTTAAATTCCCCCGTTTGCATAAATATATAATGTGCAAATAAACATTTATTTCAGGAATTATAACAGCCCTTCTCAACCAGGATCCCATGAAAACCTAAGGTTCCTCCAGAGCCGAACCAATGATCAAATTTTTATGCCTTCACATACTTTACATCACTGACATCAATGATCTTTTCAGAAAACTGTAAATGGGGGGTGGCATTCTTCCCACTGACCACCAAATGTAAGGAGCATCGTTCCATACTGACTTAAAACCCCCCCCCCCCCTTTGTAACAGAACCCTTTTTTCCATCTCCTTTTTCACAACCACCAATCTATGAGGGCCCTTCCTCCATGACCACCAATGTAAGGCTCAGTATACTGACCACTAGTATAAGTGGGGCATTACTGACCACACAGCGTAAAGGGGCACTTTTTCACTGACCACCAATGTAATGTAACAATTTTCATGGTCCTAAGTTTCATTTATGAATATTATTTTTTTTCATTTCACATTGCTTACTAAAAAAACCCTAATTATGCTACATTCCCCCCCCCCCCCCCCCCAATCATTTATCACATTCGTATATCCACTTATATCCTAACCGTTCACAGTAATGTCCAGAGAATGGGGGGGGGGGGTGGGGGGGGTTTAGATATAATAAAAAATATAAGCAGGGTTTTCCTGAGACCTTAAAGCTAATTTTAAGGGCTCCTCCACGTGAAAAGATTGAAAAAGGCTTGGATTAATTTCATTTGTTTAATATACATTCATTGTCACATTTATTACAATACATAACACTGTGTTTGAATACTTGCTGTGCTTTCTAGAAGAAATTCCAGCACTTTCTGTAACCTTTCTGGCAGACTGGTACTAGAAATAAAGGAATGAATATGTCCCTCATTTGACTCAATACCTAACTCTATTTTTTACACAACAGCTGCCTGAAAGTAGAATATTTACTTACAAGTGCCTGGAAAATGAGTATTCATACCCCATCCACATTTTGTCATCTTACAACCAAAAACTTTAATGTATTTTATTGCGATTTATGTGAAAGAACTAACACCCGAAAAGGTGGCACATAATTGTCCAAGTGGAAGGCTAAAATGATAAATGGTTTCAAATGTTTTACCAAATAAATATCTGAAAAGTGTGGGCAATTTATAATCAGCCCCCCTGAGTCAATACTTTATAAACCACCTTTCTCCTGCAAGTCTTTTTGCGGGGATTCTCTAACAGCTTTGGCACACCTAGAAGAGTGACATTTTTTGCCCATTCTTCTAGCAAAATAGCTCAAGCTCTGTCAGATTGGATGGAAAGCGTCTGTGAACAGCAATTTTCAAGTCTTGCCACAAATTCCTAATTGAATTTAGGTCTGGACTTTGACTGAAACATAAACTAACTAGAGATGAGGCGAATTTCCAAAAATTCGATTCTGCGGCTGATTCCCCGAATTCCGCCGAATAAATTCGCTTCGAGCCGAATATATTCGCTGCGAATTTAACTATATAAAAAGGGTGTTTCACTAGGCTTCAGAGAGCCTTTATATTAAGTGCAGAACACTGTTACCTTTTAATTTAAATGCCCCTTGGAGTCCATGCGGGAAGAGAAATAATACTGTCAGTCATTCTACATGCAGATGAGTGCCGTCCGATTTAGAATCACCCGCACACTTCACTCATTTGGGCAGTCACGGGGCCAAAAAATCCAGAGTGTGGAGCCACAGTGTGGCGTGGAGGCCAGCAGCAATCGGAGGCCCATACAGCACCCTATACAAAAGTGAGAACCCACCAGCAGTGTGAGGAGAGCCTGAAAGTGGCACATGGCAGCAGTTGTGGCGATGGAGACAGCAGCAATGGGAGGCCGTACAGGACCCATGACACACTCTGGACCTGGCAGCAGCATGAGAGTGCCGGTACAGGGGCCCATGACAGATTACGGGCCTGGCAGCAGCATGAGGAGTCGGTACGGGGGCCCCTGTCCAGATTAAGGGGGTGCGCGGGGGGGGGGGACACGGGGACATGAGGAGTCGGTACGGGTGGCCCAATGCAGATTACGGGCCTGGCAGCAGCACCTGAGGAGGCGTTACACAAGGCCCATGGCAGAAGTGGCGGAAGCGTAAGCAGCTAAAATTGAAGGAACCCCATACAGAGGCCTATGTTTAAAAGTCCCCCCAGCAGCAGCGTGGGGCGACGACTATCAAGAGTCCCAATGGCAGAGTGGCGGAAGCAAAGCAGGCTTACAATTGAAGGCCATAACACAGGCCTAGGTTTAAAAGTCCCTCACAGTTAATTCCTAATTCCAATAACGAACTCTTACTCCTCCCGTGCAATCTACTTTACGAGACCCTGTGGCCAGGTCTGGGTCCAATTTGTGGTAGAGACTTGGTTTTTGTTCAGCCATGCTTTGAGGCGAGTAATAACAGGTCTTGTGCTGCCGCACTTTGGTTTGTCAACGGAACAGTTGCTTACCCCACTGAAATCACGGCACAAACACATGAACGTCCCCAGAGCGTGAAATCCTAGACAACGTTTGTCAACGATTTGCCGTGAAGTGATGGAGGGGGTGGGACTGAAGCAGGTCATTACTCTGAAGGACGTACACAGGGGCCATGAATCCGTAGAAGCGGACCCTTGGCAGCATCGAGAGCAGACGACAGATGCACATGGCGCAGGGTGGCGGTGGATGCAGCATTATTCTGAAAGCCATACACAGGCCTAGGTTAAAAAATGCGAAACCCACGTCAGACAGCGTGAGCAGACCTGACCAAAAACACATGGCGCTAGAGGCAGTGCGATTGTAGGCAGCAGCAATGGAAGGCCATACAGCACCCTATCACATTCCCCCCCATGGAACCCCTGGACCAAAGCAGTGTAAGAGGAGACCTGAAAGTGGCACAAGGCAAGTGCGAAGCGTAGAGTCTGGCGATGAAGTCAGCAGGCCATGGGGAAAGCCGTACGAGGAGACCGATGAAACCACTCTGAACCTGGCAGCAGCCAGAGGAGGCGGTACAGGTGCCCATGGCAGAGATGGTCGAAGCGTATCCAGCTAATTGAAGGCCATACAGAGGCCTATGTAAAAAGTCCCCTCCACACGCAGCCTGTGGGCCACGACTGACTATCAAGATTCCAATGGCAGAGGGCGGAGCAGTGTTGTCTGCAGCTTCAATTCAATGAAGGCCATACACAGGCCTAGGTTAAAAAGTCCCCCCAGCAGTCAGCGTGGGGATAGCAGACTATCAGTTTAGAGTCCAATGGTCAATTGCAGCTTGCCGTTGGCTGAAGCAGCGTTTATGGTCAATTGGAAGGCACTAATCACACAAATTATTACCGCCAGCCCGGCGTGTAATGGAAAGTCTTTGACCAGTACACAGAGTGGTTGTGAGCAGAAAGTCAGTTATTTGTACACAATCGGTCAATTGAGCTTTGGCCGTTGGCTGGAAACTGTCGTTGTGATGTCACTGAATGCAGACGAATTCACCACGAAAAATATTACCGCCAACCCGGTGTGTAAATGGATCTAACCTCTATGAACGTACAATAGCTGGTTGTGACCAGCAGAAAGTCAGTTTATTGTCCACAATGGGTCACATTGCAAGCTTGCCGTTGTGGACGTGGGGGGGGGGGGGGGGGGGGGGGGGGGGGGGGGGGGGGGGGGGAACGGGGGGGGTGGGAGTGGGACGGCCCTCTGTACTGGGAATGCAGTAATCACCCAAGGTAATATTAATACGCCGAGTGCCGGCGAAAATGATTTCAACCAATCTTAGAACGTTACAGGCAGTCGGTTGTGAAGCAGAAACAGTTTTTATTTCTGACACCCGGTCAATTGCAAGCTTGCCGTGCTGGCCTGAAACTGTACGTTTACTGTCCTGGAATGCACTAATCACGGCCACAAAAATATTTACCCGCCACCGCGGCGTGTAAACCAGGATCTAACTCTATCGATGAACGTACAATAGTGGGTTGTGAAGCAGAAAGTCAGTTATTGGACACAATCGGTCAAGTGCAGCTTGCCGTTTTGGCTGGTGAAACTGTACTTCTGTCACTGGAATTCACTAATCACCCAAAAAATAATTAAAACCGCCACCGGAGTGTAATATGGATTTAACTCTTTGAAACGTACAATAGTGGTTGTGAAGCAGAAAGTCAGTTATTGTTAGCACAATCGACAATTGCAGCTTGCCGTTGGCTGGAAACTGTACGTTTATGTCACTGGGAATGCACTAATCCACCCAAAAAAATTACACGCCACCGGCGTGTAATGGATTTAACTCTTTTGAACGTACAATAGTGGTTGTGAAGCAGAAGTCAGTTTATTGTACACAATCGTTCAATTGCAGCTTGCCGTTGGCTGGAAACTGTACGTTTATGTCACTGGAATGCACTAATCACCCAAAAAATATATTACCGCCAGCCGGCGTGTAAATGGATTTAACTCTTTGAACGTACAATAGTGGTTTGAAGCAGAAAGTCCAGTTTATTTAGCACAAGTCGGTCAATTGCAGCTTGCCGTTGGGCTGGAAACTGTACGTTTATGTCACTGGAATGCACTAATCACCCAAAAAATATTACCGCCACCCGGCGTGTAAATGGATTTAACTCTTTGAACGTACAATAGTGGTTGTGAAGCAGAAAGTCATTTTATTTTGCACAATCGGCAAACGGCAGCACCAATGTGCACGACAGCCACCAAAAAAAAAAGGGTGTATGTCACTTTAAATTTTACGATTCTTTGATAGCTGTGGCCCTAAGTAACGATTCTGTGTCCCGAGTAACGATTCTGTGTCCCTGAGTAACGATTCTGTGTCCCTGAGTAATGATTCTGAGGCCCTAAAGTCTCTGTGGCCTAACTCTGTCCCTTAATACACACAGGTCTGTCTCTCTTGAAAGACCAAGAGGCTAATGGAGAATTCTAAGATGGCCGCGGATTTTTATAGCTCCACCATTACACAGTGCTGGCTGGCTGCTGATTGGCTAATGCGATCACATGTCATGACGCATTATGGGTCAGAGCGCGCCTTGTCTGCGCGCCTTCCCAGAGATCCCCCCCCCATCTTCTCTGTCCAATTTTCTCCCCGCCACACATGTCGCCGCGATTTTTGGGAAAATTCGATTCGTGCATCCGAAGTTTGCTAAATCTTCAGATTCGTCGCGAAAGAATTTTTCCAAATCTTCGGAACGAATCGGGTCACTTCGTCATGTTCGATTCGCTCAAACTCTCTAATTCTAACACATGAATAGCTTTGATCTAAACCATTCCATTGTAGCTCTGGGTGTATGTTTAGATCGTTGTCCTGCTGAAAGGTGAAAACCTCCACCTCAGTCTCAAATCTTTTGCATAGACTGTAGCAGGTTTCCCTGGCATCAGAACACCACCCGCTCTCTCCTGTTCTCCTTCTACCTACCTATCCCGACGCTCCTTCAGCGTTTCCTACAATGGCTGCCAAACTTCCGTCCCCCTCTCTGTTGGGGTCCCCCCAGGGCTCTGTCCTGGACCCCTTCTCTTCTCCATCTACACCTCCTCCCTTGGCAAACTCAATACACTCCCACGGCTTCAACTACCATCTCTATGCTGATGAGCACTCAAATTTACCTCCTCCACCCCTCACCTCACCTCCACTTTCTCCGCCCACATCACTCACCTCCTAAACGACATCTCTGACTGGATGTCGCTACCATTTCCTCAAACTCAAACCTCTCCAAAACCGAGCTTCTCGTCTTCCCTCCCTGCCCGCGCCCCCCCCCCCCCATCCTATCCATTCACTACTAAAATCACCACCATCAATGCCCGCCCCGCAAGCTCAAAGTCCTTGGGGTCATTCTGGACTCTAACCTCTCCTTCCAACCTCATGTCAAAATCACTGACAAACAGCTCATGCAGGCTCCACCTCCGCAATATCGCCAAAATACGGCACCTTCCTTACCCAGACACCGCTAAACTACTTGTGCACTCCCCTGATTATCTCACGCCTTGACTACTGCAAACTCCCTCCTCACCGCCTACCCCAGTGCAAACTTCTCCCCGCTTCAGACCATCCTGAACTAGCTGCCCAGACTCATCCACCTCACCAGCCGCTCCACCTCTGCCACCCCCCCTGCCTCTCCCTCCACTGGCTCCCTATCGCCCAACGCATCAAATTCAAACTTACTCACTCTGACCTACAAAGCCATTCACAACACTGCCCCTAACTACCTCACCGACCTGATTCCAAGTACCACCCTACCCGTACCCTTCGCTCTTCACAGGACCTCCTTCTATCTTGCTCCCTGGTCTCCGTCCTCACACGCACGTCTGCAAGACTTCTCCAGGTCCTCCCCCCCATCCTCTGGAACTCACTACCCCAATCCATCAGACTGTCACCTTCCCTCCCCTCACCTTCAGGCGCTCCCTGAAAAACCCACCTCTTCAGGGAAGCCTACCCCACCCTCACCTAACTGCTGCTCTCCTTCATTCCTCCTACTACTACTCCATCCCCCACAGCCACTTCCTCCTGTACCACTACCCCCTCCCTCCCAGATTGTACGCTCGAAAGAGTTAGGGCCCTCTTACCCCCTCGTGTGCTGTTCGTAGCTGCTGTAATGTTTTCATGGATTGTCCCCCCCCCTCTATTGTACAGCGCTGAGCAAACCCTTTGGCGCTATATAAACTCAATGTAATGTAATGTAATGTAATACTTCTAAGATTGCCCTGTATTTGGCTCCATCCATCTTCCCATCAACTCTGACCAGCTTCCCTGTCCCTGGTGAAAAAAGCATCCCCACAACACGATGCTGCCATCACCATGTTTCACGGTGGGGATGGTGTGTTTAGGGTGATGTGCCGTGTTCGTTTTCTGCCACATATAGCGTTAAATTTTGGTCTCAACTGACTGGAGCACCTTCTTCCACGTTTGCTGTGTTCCAACTAGATTTTAGTTAGGGGTATCAGAGTAAAGGGGGGTGAACACAAATGCACGCCACACTTTTCAGATAATTATTTGTAAAACAATTTTGAAAACCATATATCATTTTCCTTCCACTTCACAATTATGTGCCACATGGTGTTTGGCTATAACATAAAATCCCAAAAAAATACATTTACGTTTTTAGTTGTAACATGACAAAATGTGGAACATTTCAAGGGATATGAATACTTTTTCAAGGCACTCTATGATAGACCTATCGAACACCATAAGTGGTAACTGTAAGAGGTAACTGCATCTAACTGTTTAAAAGGCATAATAATATTATTATTATTATTATTTACTGAGTGCAAACAAAAAAAATACATAAAAAAAAAAAATTTCCTTTAACACATTTGTAATATAGCCATTGGTTTAAAAAAAAAATGAAAAACGCATGGAAAGTTTGAATATGAACCCAAAAATGGACAAAGCTTACCCATCAAGAGATGCGTTGCTGATTGAAGAGATATTATGACAATCTGTGGGGGATTCAGCGTAGTACAAAGTAAAAGACACAGAGTTTATCAGTTCTCTCCTCACCTCCCAGCTGCACCTCATCTCTACAGATCCATTGTATTCACATTTTACATTTTGAATAATGGCTTTATTATCTGTTGAAAAACAAGCACTGTTTAATGAAGAGTTACTTTTCTTTAGAAATCCTATTCTGTACTTTGTTAGTTTGTTTTACTTGTTCTGTATTTTGTGGATAATCTAACGCTCTATTTTTCTGAGCACGCCAGCTTTTTCCTGCCAGACGTACATAAAAACCACACAGGATGTCTGGATGTTTTCTGGATGTTACAGTTACAATGCAGGTACACATTATAAACTAACTCACAATGCTCCAACAGAAATAGGTATATAGATACCCAATATTCCCAGGTTTGGATTTATCTATTTTTTACAAGGTTAGTTGTGGTAGCATAATAAAGAAAAACAGAAATAGATTCAGTCAGAAAAGCAATACGTCCTTGGATAGCCATACTGTTAATGTGTGGAATACGTTGTAGTAAAAAATTTGGTTACCTGCCGAAATCTAAATCCAAATATTTCCA